GGTGTGTGTGTATATATATATATATATATATATATATATATATATATAAAGTCATTATGTGCTGTTTGTGTTTGTTTTGTTTCGTTTTGTTTTTAAGTAGACTTCGTGCCCAGCACAGAGCCCAGTGCAAGGCTTGAACTCAACCCTGAGATCAAGATCTGAGCTGGGATCAAAAGTTGGACCCTCAACTGACCAAGCCACCCAGGTGCCCCTTATTATGTATTCTAGTATGGAAAATAAATATTATTTTGAAGTTGATTGTTTTAAAATACTTCAGATTTTTTAAATTGAAGTTGAGAAAGTTTGACTCTTAACTTCCATGTTTTATCAGTACGACTTTTGGAAATATGTAATTTCTGACTCAGTGCCTCTATCTCCAAAACACTGGTGATGCTATCCTGTGTGACCCTGTGGGGTTTGGTACAATAGATGGAGTGTGTCTAAGGCCCTGTGAGGTCTTAAAAAGAAAATATAAAAAAGAATAATCAGATTGTTCATCTTAAGTTCCTAGGAGGAGGCCTTGTACAAAGTAGGTGTTCGATATTATTTGTTAATGTAATGTAACATGAGAAACGGAGACTGTGGATTAGCACACACAAAGCAATAGAAAGATATTTGATATTCCTACAGTTCTTAGACTGTTTCACAGTGCAGTCTATACCCAGGACTTCTTTTCTGAAAAACCTTAGGGACTAGATAGTGCAATATTTCAAATGACAGGTTGTGATCCATCAGGAAGATATGAAATCAGTTTAGTGGTTTGTGACCAGCATTTTGAAGTAATGGAATAAAATTGAAATATCCGATTCCATCATCAGTAATAAGGGTAAGTGTTCCCTGAAACTTTTGATTCGGATCTATGTGAGTGTGTGTTTTCTGAATCAAGATGTAAAATGTTTCTTAGGTAAGTTGAGGTTTAAAAAATGTTTTAAAGCCTCCAATATAGTATGATTATACAGATTATAATTTAAATGGTGCTGTTCTCATTTTGCTTGATTTAAGAAGAAAAATAATTGGAACAGACGTCTTGTTTGCCGTTATCTACAAGGAGAAAAAATTGTATATTGGAAAAGATATATAGGACTTTTTTCCCCTTTTTTTTCCAGTTTATGGCGATAATTAGAAGAAACTAAAATATAAAATATAACTGCTTTACTAATAAATTCAAGTCATGTTCTGGGAGATCCTTGGTCAAATTTCTCTTTATAGAGTTACTATGAAACTAATGATTTTCTCATTTTTTTATAGAAAACAAATGGCATTATCAAATTATGACTATCAACTAATATTTCTAAGTGACATTAAGAACTGTGCACATCCTATCCTGAAGACTGATTTTTTTTAATGTTTTATTTTATTTTTGAGAGAGAGAGAGAGTGTGTGAGCAGGGGAGGGGCAGAGAGAAAGAGGGAGACACAGAACCTGAAGCAGGCTCCAGGATCTGAGCTGTGAGCACAGAGCCTGATTTGAACCCATGAACCATGAAATCATGACGTGAGCCAAAGTCGGACATTTAACTACCCGAGCCACCCAGGTGCCCCTCCTGAAGACTATACATTGCTTGAAAGGAATGAAAATTTATAATGTTTTTCAATTTCTTGCAACAAGTCCCTTTATTTCTTCAAATTCTGCGTACTTGCTACTTAATATATCTGCTTGGAGAAAACTTCCTCACTGAACCTGTTTCAAACAAGGCAACAGAATTTTAAATTTGTCTTTAACATTTTATTATGAACATTTCAAACCTGCAGCAAGGTTGAAATAATATGTCTAGCATCTAGATTCTACCATCTTTTATTGTACTTCATCACATCTATGAATCCATTTTATTTGTTGATGCTTTTTGAAGCAAATTACAGTTATCAGCACACTTCCCCTGAAGAACTTTAGCATGCATGTCACTAACTAGCGTTCAACATTTAAAGGTTTTTTTTGTTGCATGTGAAATTTATATATAATAAAATGCACACATTTTAAGTGTAGGTTAGCTAAGTTTTGACAAATACATTAACCTGCTACCCAGACTCCTCTTATATGGAGCATTATTGTCACACCAAACTTCTCTCATACCATCTTCTAGTCACATCTTACCCCAACCCTCATCTCAATTTTTTCCACCATAGATTAATGTCACCTATTTGAGAATGTCATATAAATGGAATCATACACTATGTACTTTTGTATTTGGCTGTTTCCGCTCATCATAATGTTTTTGATTTTCATTTATATTGTCGCACGCATCAGTAATTTGTTTAGTGTTGAGTAGTAGTAGTTCATCATATGAATGTAGCCCAGTTTGTATATTCTTTTTCCTGTTGATGCATACCTGAACTGTTTTTAGGTTTTGGCTGTTAAACATAAAGCTGTTATAGGGGCACCTGGGGGGCTCAGTCGGTTAAGCGACACTCTTGATCTCGGCTCAGGTCATAATTTCACGGTTTGTGAGTTCAAGCCCTGCGTTGGGCTCTGCGCTGGCAGTGAGTGTGAAGCTACTTGGGATTTTCTGTCCCTCTGTCTGCCCTTACCCCACTTGAGCATCTCTCTCTTTCTCTCAGAAAAAATAAACTGTAGGGGCGCCTGGGTGGCGCAGTCGGTTAAGCGTCCGACTTCAGCCAGGTCATGATCTCGCGGTCCGTGAGTTCGAGCCCCGCGTCAGGCTCTGGGCTGATGGCTCAGAGCCTGGAGCCTGTTTCTGATTCTGTGTCTCCCTCTCTCTCTGCCCCTCCCCCGTTCATGCTCTGTCTCTCTCTGTCCCAAAAATAAATAAACGTTGAAAAAAAATTAAAAAAAAAATAAACTGTAAAAAATTTAAAAATATAAAGCCGCTATAATTATAGAAGTGTTTTTGTGAACATAAATTTTCATTTCTTTTGGATAAATAAGTGAAATTACTGGTCATATGCTAAGTATATTAAGAAATACACCCCCCCCCTTTTTTTTTTCCTGAAGTGGTTGTGCCGTTTCACATTCTTACTGGTGATAGAGTTTTGACTGGATGTCTCCACATTCCCTCATGCTCAGGATAGGTAATAGGTAATAAAAGGTCATAATACCTCATTCCTTTGAAGCTTTCACTCCATCATGCTTATAGAACTTAACTGTAGATTGTGAACAAACTTGTGAAATCATGTGAGTGGGAGTCCTGAACTGCTCGTGTGTATACTGGGAAAAAAATTTATTC